GCACAAGGTCAAAATCGCCCCGCCCAAAAGCTTGGCTTAGCGGTTAAGGGGGTTCAGATTTTGTAGAGTTCGTCAAAAATTGACTGATTGGGATTTGGGTTAAAAAAATCCCTAACTCTCTCTCTCTCTCTCTCTCTCTCTCTCTCACGGTCCAAAATCCAAAATCCAACCTAACCCGTTAGGTAAGCCAATTAACAACAATCCAATTCAATGAGATTTTCTAAGAAAATAAATGATGAAATAACTTAACATTTATACACTTCCCAAGGACTGGTAGTACAAATCACGAGCTTCTAAGATTTAGAATTTACAAAGCTGGTGTGAAATAAAATACAACATCTGTTTAGAATATACATGAACAGATTAACTATTCTAAAGCTACCATGAACAAGAGGCAGCTATGATCAGATCGCAGGTACATCTTCCATTCCAGCTCTCGCCATACACAGCAACACCAGCATCAAAAATCTGCATGCAAGGTGCAAAAGTGTAGTATGTGTACAACCAACCCCATGTACTTAATAAGTAACAAACCTAACCTTAGGTTGAAAGTAGTGACGAGCTTGTACCAAGGTCAGAGTCCACACCGATAACCAGTAACTTCTCATAACAATACAATTAAAGCAGCACAAGTAATAATTCAATAATAAAATGCTCAGCTCGTATTTAAATACAGAAATTAACCATTTTCTTTTCAAGTATAATAGTAAAACTCAATCTTTTACCGAAATCGCCAAAAATACGAGTATGTTTGAAAACTGTAGTTTTTTCCAAATCTTTCAAAGGTAAATGTTTCATTTTCAAATGGCATGAATAAAATACATCTCCATGCCTACATGTCAATATATATGAAAAGTCTTGAATGACGTTATACCGTACAACAAGTAGAAAAATGCATCTATATGCATGTACGTGGATGTACATAACAATCAATGAATCCCAGTGATGAACTCATGTACTCACACTCTTAGACTACTCAATCTCACTGTCTCACACTTTCCGCTCATCATGCTCAATTACTCGACACACTCAATCACTCAGTACTGAACAGGGCAAATCCAGCCCAAACATAACAACTGCTAGCAACTGTCGCGCCCCCCTCCCTTTTTCCTCGCGGAGTCCGGGTTTCGACATTTCGGGACAACTCCTTTTCTTTTGGGAATTGGGTATGAGATTTGAAGAGTGGCCACCTAACGGATTAAGGTGCGTTGGGGCATCTAGAGCAAATAACTCATGAACCAATTTACATTACCAGAGATTGGGTAAGGGCTCGTA